CCCCGACGACTGGCGCGCTCCATTTTTCAACGGCCCCCTGGGGTGCGCCTCGCAGCGCGGCCGCAATCCAGTTGATCATCGCGTTCGGTTTTCGCTGAAGTGTAATGCTTATTGTCAGGTGAATGGAATGGGGCTCGCCAGACGCTCTGAGTCGCCACCGTTGACAGGGGCGGTTCCAAGCGCCAGGTAGCTCGCCCGAGGGTGGCGATGCATCTTGTTCAGACCCGCCGCGCCAACAGCGATCCGCTTTGCATGTCCTCAGTTGGGCTTGGTGCTTCTGTAGCTTTGGACGGTTCGCTTCCGCGCGACTTCCTCCAAGCTGAGTTCTCGACCGATGTGGTTTTCGCTGGTGCATGTAGAATTGGTTAGCGCGGGGCGTCTCATGCCATTAAATTTGTGCAATCTGGCGCCGTGCGAGTATCTTTCAGGTTCAGCACGTAGCGCAGATCGCCTGCGACGACGTGAACGCATTTCCTGACGCGGCCTGCGAGATCCCCGACTTGGAGATTATGGCACATATTGGTGCGAGAAGGAAATGCCCCAATCATGCAAATACCGACCTGGTCAAGATCATGCCAGACCCGAAGTTACCGCAGCCTTTCATGGTGGAAGTGCCCTGCAAAATTTCGGGGCAGGCCATCTTCGGATCGCCCAGTATCCATTTTACCCCCGCGGGAGATGTTCGCATCTTTGCACGGGAACTACAGCGCGCACCGGCACGGGGGAGGGGGGGCGGGGGGGCGGGGGGGGGGGCGAGGCCGCGCGGATGACGAGGCGCTGCGTCGCGGGATCTGCGCATTGATATTCCAACATGTTACGGGATGCATGTATTTATCTTCCAGTCACCGTTTCCCCGCGCTTTTTCCCGCGCGCGTTTTGTCTCGCTCGTTGTCTCGTAGGTTTGAGCCCGCGTGTATCTTTCGATTGGCCCTGTCATAGGATCTCGCGCAAGTTTGGAGCGACGTTGACAATCGCCCCATCATGGTGAGAGACCGCCCGCTGAGGGCGGCCCCAGTTTACGCGGCGCGCGCCGCCCCCGCATCGATTCGCGGAGATGGAGTTCCAGTCGAAGGCGTCGGCGAGAGCGGGCCCGAGGATATCGGCGCCCGAAGTTGGAGCAGCATCGTTGCAGGGCCAGGCGACACATTGGAGACGTGCATATTGATTCCCACCGCATTCAAGCAGCTAGTTGCGAGCGCGAGCTGCGTCGAGACAACGGCGCACACATGGAAAACTATTGAGTGGTCTGCGTGGTGATGTTTGACGGGGGGTGGCCTGCTAGGGGGCGTAATAACGAGGAGCTGCGCAATCTTCGCGGCGGCGTCCTTGGCGGGGGGGGGCCCAGGGCAGTCGCGTTCTTACTTGAAGGTGGCGTTGAATTATTGTCGCAGGCGCCGCGCAGGACAATGCCAACCAGCGCCCCAGGGTCGCATTATCCAGGTATCTCGGCGTCGCTTGCGCGTTGCGAATCGACCAGGTTTCAGTTTTGTTGCGCAGTGGTTGAAAAGGGCTGGTTTGTTCTGGCCGCTCCCGCGACGAGAATTCGTCGCCCCCGGAGCGCGGCTCACCATGGCGCGCGTCCAACGCGCCGCCGCGCGCGACATGCGAAGCCAACGCGACGACGGCCCCAGTCATTGACATGCGTCATGGAGCAGCTTGGGGGGCTGCGCGCTGGGACAGGGAGGAATGGTTGAGAAGGCGCCCAGACCATCATAGCATCAACAAAACGTTCCGTTCGATCCGGTGCTCTGTGAGCACTTAGGTAGCGATCTGTGTGATGACGGTTTCGTGCTGATCATTACTGCGCACGCGATCATGCCTGGCACGGTTGATGCAAACGTTCGCCAGATTCTAGCCTATTTCACTACTTGCTGGATGAACGCCGGCATCACTGGCTACCGCCGCAATTTGAAGCCAATCATGCTTTGCAGCGTTGAGCACCGCTGGGACCGCGCGCCGAGGCTGAAGGGGCGCGCTTGCGAAATGCGCTGCGTGGTCGAAAATTTTGATCGAGGCTTGGGATTTATATTCGGACGAGGATAGACTTCCTCCTGCGTCGTCGTCATCCTTTCTTTTCTCTTCGTGCTTCGTCGTCGTTGTCGTCGTCTTCTTCTCTCCGCCCTCCACCCCGCGAGAACAGCAACTGGCGTTTGATAGGCCCCCCGGCCCCCCATTTCAATGTTCATCGCGCGACCAGCGAAGTTCGATAAAGAAATCGGCACCGCATTGAGCGTTGAAATTTGGGGCCAGGGTGGGGTTGGGGGGAGGTGTGTGGAAGATAACAAGTTGTTCTGTGTACGGGGGGGTAGGGCTTCGTGTGTCTGCAAAAATCGAGGACACCATGGGCGCCTGACATTTTTCCCGCCCCAAGAGGCCCTTGAGTTTTCACGTGCGTTCAGAGGGTTCGCTCACTGTCGGGGTGCTGCGGTCGCGCATTATATTGCCAGGGGCTTCTATCTATTTGACGTCACTGCGAAATCGCAGTGCTAGGCCCGCATATTTGACGACGCCAAACACGTCAACCCTAGGAGGGGGTGGTGTTAAGGTGGAGATACGTTCGTATTCACCATGCAGACTGGCGCGAGCTCGTGTCTGTGCGGCAACAAGGCCTGGCAGGCGAGCAACAACTTGCGCGCTTTGTGCCGGCGCGGTTTTCACGACGCGTTTTTTCTTCCCCAGGATGTTTGAATGACGCATCTTGCTTCGACGCCCCCCCTTTCGCCGCGCACCCTACCCCGCCCCTCGTCTCCGCGCCCTTCCCTATCATGTTCACGGGATGCGAGTGAAAATGGCCAGCGCGACGACGAACGTTAGGTGACGCACGGGGCGGTCGCGAAGATGCGAGCGCGAAGTAACGCGCGCGAGCAGTCAGCGCGAACATACTAGGGGGGCGGAAATGCGAAGGCGCAGGCCGCGAAGATAAAATCGCAAATGTAGCGTTTCCCCTTCCCTCCTTCGCTCCCCCCAGTTTTTCTCCTCGTCCTCCTCCGCCTCCTCCTCCCCCGTTTTTTTCCTTCCCCCCCTTCTCCGTGTCCTCCTTTTCCTCCTTCTCCCTCCTTTTCTCCTCCTCCCCGCCCTCCTCCTCACCGCGGCCGTCGTTGCCCCCGTCGTCGCAATCGTCGCCGTATTCTCAGCTCCCTCGCGCGCGGCCTCGCGGTCCAATTGGGCCGCGGGGCCAATTGGACCACGTGCCCGCGGACGGGTGCAGGGGCGGCGCCTTAGCGGGCCGTTCGGCACAGGGCGGGGCGCGCTCATGGGCCGTCGCCGTCGTCGTCGTCGTCGCCGCGCGTCGTCGTCGGAGGCGGGGGAGGGGAGGACCTTCGATTGTGAAATGCCCCTGTGCGTTTCGAGTGCGTTTTTGGATTTTAGTGGGGGGGGTTCAACGGAGTCGTCGTCGTCGTCGTCGTTTTCGGCGTCGTCGTCGTCGTCTTCGTCCGTTGTCTCCCCTTTCTTTCTCCCTTCACTCCCGTTCCTTCCCCCCCCGACCTCGCTCCCCCCGTTCCCCCCCCTGCCGCTCCCCCTTTCTCCCCTTCCTCCCCGCGTTTCCTCTTCATGCGTTTTCCTTTCTTTTCAGAATGGTGCTCTCGCTTAAGAAACCGCCGCGCCGCGCTCCGCGGCCCCCGCAGGCGTCCATATCCGGAGGTCGGCAATTTCGGACCTCGGGTGGGGACGGTCCAGTTGGGTCCCCTTCCCGCCAATCCCCGTGGGGGTGGCGGATGGACCAGCAGGTTCGCGTCGTCGTCGTCGTCTGTCGTCGTCGTCGTCGTCGTCGTTTGTCGTCTTCGTCGTCGGTCGACGTCGTCGTCGTCGTCGTGAGCGTGGTCGCGGTCGTCGCCGTGCCTGGCATCGTCGTCAGCCAGGTCGTAGTCGCGGTCCTGGTCGTCGTCGTCGCCGTCGTCGTCATTTGCGCCGAGGTCGTCGTGGTCGGTTGATGTCGCCGTCGTCGAGGTCGTCGCCGTCGTCGGTCGATGTCGTCGTCAGCGTCGTGGACGTCGTCGTCGTCGTCGTCGTCGCGGTCGTCGTCGTCGTTGTCGGTCGGCGTCGTGGCCGTCGTCCAGCAGGTTATTCCAGCAGGTCCACGCTCCTCATTCCCATATCATCCCTCCGTCCCCTCCCTTTGCTGTTCGTTAGCCAATGTAGTCTTGGTATCCTCTCTTTCCCCTGCAAGTATTTAATACGGGTGCTCCTGTTTTAAGGCAATAAAGCAAATTAGCGCCTTCATTGCTTAACTTCTTAATGTGTCCAAAAGTTGCATGCGAGTTATTCCTAACGCTGCCACGTGCGTTTGGAATTCGCGATCGTTAAATGTTGCTATACCGGTTTAGTGATTTATTTAATCGCTTCGCTCATTCCGCCGGCCCTGGAACGCTATTTGGGGCCTCTTGGGGCCGTCTTGGGGGCTTTTTGGGGGCATTTTGGGAGCGTCTTGGGGCTCCTTGGCGCGTATTGGGCTCCCCTGGGGCCTCTTGGGGGGCTCTTGGGGGGCCCTTGGGGCGGGAGGGGGGGTAATCGTTGGCGCCCCCCCCCTCGGAGGCCACGATCCTCGTGAGGGGTGGCGAAAAATAGCCTCCCTCCTGGGGATCGCCCGGGGATCAGCCGGGGATCGGCCGGGGTACTTTTCGTCCGAGGCCCCCCAAGGGCCGCCCCGCGCGCGCGAACTAGAAATATTGTTAAGTAGTTACCGGAGATCTTAGCACGCCTCTGGCTCGCTGGGCCGGCGAATTTTCTCATATGCTAAAGTATTGTTAACCTGCGTTTAACAATACATTGCCTGGTCTTCAGGAGGATAGGTCGATCCGTCTCCACAAATGTCGCAGCAACCTTGAGTCGATGGTGATGGTCGTGTTCTTCTGGCGATGCTGAATTTGCTTTGCAACGTCTGACCTGAGGGTTCCCCTTTTTCGGGCTCCTCGGCCCCCCCTTGCGTCGCAAAAAGGGCTGGAATGAGAAAATGATCGTGGAAGGCATTTGGGTGCAGGAACCGCTTCCGTCACGCCAAGGAAGACCCGGCACAGGTCCAGGATTCTGTCGGTGGCACTGGGTGACGAGGAGCTGCTTCCTGGGATGGCGAGCCCCTCGAGCTCTAACTTGCTGTGCCCTCCGGAGGAGGTCTTAAAGGGCCGCCAGGCGGGCACGCAGTCGACCATGGTGGGTCCCGTGCGGCTCGAGGACTGCGACGAGGGCGGCCAGTGCGAGGAAGATTTGCGGTGGCCGCCTTCGAGCAATCCGAGCGGCGCCGTCGAGAACGCGGCGGTTTGCCCGCGCGTGCCGCCGCCGCTGCAGGAACGTGGCCGCAGCAAGGACGTCGCGGGCGAGCTGGCTGGAGTGACCACGTCTGGGTTCTTCGGAGGAGTTTCGACCAGCAGCATCGAGTCCCTCATGGAGGGCAGCTCTGAGTTTCTGTACCAGCTCGTGACGAACTCAAAGTTCGAGCTCTTCTTCTCCACGATGATCCTGCTGAACGCCGTGGTGGTGGCTTTTGCCGTGCAGTTTCGGGGCTTCGACGTCGGCTTCGAGCTGGGCTATCGCTGGTACGAGAGGCCCGCCGTGGAGACTTGGCCCATGGCGGAGTCGTTCTTCGAGGTCTGCGACTGGGTCTTCGGCATTGCCTTCACAGTCGAGCTCGTTCTGAAGGCCCTCGGCATGCGCCAGTACCCCCACGCGTATCTGGCTGACGTGTGGAACTATTTCGACTTTGCCATGGTCGTCCTCTTCTACATCGACGCTCTCGGCGTGACGCCCGTGAAGGCAGGGGTCCTTCGCGTGACCCGCATGGTCCGCTTCGCGCGGCTAGTGAAGCTCCTCAGGGCGACCAACGGTTTTGAGGCTCTCTACCTCATGGTCACTGCGATGAAGGGAAGCCTGGGAGCATTGGCGTCGTCGTGCGTGATCCTGGTCCTCCTCCAGATGTTGGTCGCCTTCTCAATCAATCAGGTGTTGTACACGTTTTACTTCGACAACGAGTTCTACGATTTGGAGGAGAGGCAAGAGGTATTCGCATACTTCGGCACTTTCTCGAGGTCGATGCTATCGATGTTCGAGATGACGCTGGCTAATTGGCCGCCGATCTGCCGGTTACTCCAAGAGAGTGTGAACGAGTGGTTCATTTTGTTCTGCGTCGTGCACAAGCTAACAATCGGTTTCGCGGTCATCGGGGTCATCAATGGAGTTTTCGTCCAGGAGACATTCAAGGTCGCGTCGACCGACGACCACCTCATGATCTTCCAAAGGGAACGCGCCGTGCGCCTGCACAGGCAGAAGATGCTGCGCCTCTTCCGCGCAGCGGACGATACCGGCGACGGGCTGCTCGACATTGATGAGTTCAGCAGCGCCATGGGAGACAGGGACGTGCAGACGTGGATGGCCTCCATGGAGCTCGACGTCAGCGACGCGCGCAGCGTGTTCTCCCTAGTGGACAAGGACGGCGACGGCGTGCTGACTCCAGAGGAGCTCGCGCGAGGCGTGGCATTGCTGAAGGGCTCGGCGAGGAGCATCGACCTGCAGATCCTGCGGAAGGAGCTGGAGTCTCTGCGCACGTTCATCCCGATGGTCCTCAGGACGTGTTGTACGGTAGAGGGAAGCAATTAGTGGACACTCCTGTGCCCCCAATTCAAAGTTGACCACCACGGGGAAGATTGCGGTCGAAGTGCAACTCATGTAACCCACCGCTAACATTGATCATCGGGGGTGGTATTGACAGATTAATTTGGCATGAAATGTTGGCTAATTTAGGGGACCGCACGGTCTGCTCTCTAGGGGGCCGCTCCCCTTGCCAGAGTTGGCGCGCAGACCGCCATGCCATCCATGCCATGCCATACGTCTTCTGAGAGTTTATGTATCAGAACTGCTGAATTCAATTCCGTGCTGTTTAGCCGATGCGCCGTGGGGCGCGGCTCCACTGACTGACTGTTGGCTAATTTCTTCCGTGGCCTGTAGCTCGTTGTGTGTTCACCCCGTTCATCTCCACCGATCGTGCGCAGCGTGCGTCCGTAATCATTACCCGGGCCTCCGATGGTATGATTTTCCCCGGGACCATCGGAAATGTATCCAGGAATCGCTGCAACCATTCAAGGGGTCGAGAGGTCTGGGGGCCTGGATCGAAACAGACGCTTTTGGATGCCTGGGCTACGTTCCCAGAGTCGCATCGGCGGGTCTCGGGGGACAAGCGCACGATGTCGCTGACACACGTCCTGGGGATCATCGGTCATCGCCGCCGCCCTGGGCAGTGGCCCGGCGGCTGGCGACCCAGGCAGGGTCCATTTCGATCGGGTCGATCCGATTCCATGTCGATTCCGTCCGGTCCGATCCACTTCGATTCCGATATTACGACGATCGAACGCGGCATGACGCTTGCATGGCGTTGTTGTGCATCCTGGCCAAGCCGATCCGATTTGATTCCAATTCCCTGTCGATGCGGCACGAGCCGATGCGCCTTTCGATCCGATCCGACTTCTCGATTCGATGCTGGCCGATCCTGCCCAGGCTACGCGGCGGCCCCGCCAGCGCACGGCGCCGAGCCAGGGCTGACCAGCGGGCCCAGCGCCGGCAGTATCAGCTCGAGTAGGGGATCGCCTACAGAACTGATTTACCCCAGATTTGATTTCTACGTCGAATCTTCAACACGAATACGTAGAAAGCTCGTAGATCAGCGAAAATTCTAAGAATTGTTTGTGGATTCGACGCGAAAAATCAAATCTGGGGTAAACCAAGTCTGCAGTCGATCCCCTACTCGAACAGCAGCTCCATCGCCAGCGGCGGCCTCTCGGGCGGCCTCGGCGCCGTGGTGGGCCGCCGCAGGCGGCGCCCGAGCACAGGCAACACGCTCTTCGGCACCCCCGCCGCCGGCATGGCCCCGAAGCTCGGCCAGCGCTCGGCGGGCAAGTTTCTCGACGCCCAGGCGGCACCCCGGGCGCCCACGGCGCGCCGGTGGAGCTTGCCACAGATGCCCCGGTTCTCCGCCATACGCCGTGGGTGAGTGCGTTTTTTTCTGACCAGGATAACGCTCGCTACCCCGGCCCCCCCCCCCCCAACCCTCCCAGGTAAAGCTAACGATCGCACTCGGGGGGGGGGCCTGGACCCTCCCCATGCTGTGGTGCACGCAGGCGATTGATGCACTGGTGGCGTGGACTCACCCTGGCGGGTGCACGCCGCGGCCGCCGTTCCCGTTACCCTCCCGCCCGACGCCCCCCACTCCCCCTGGGGGTAGCGACCGTTCCCTGGGAAAGAAAAAAACGGATACTGGGCGAAGAGCATATCCGTATCCGCGGCCTCGCGGGCCAGGCCCCTGGGCCCCGACCCCGCAGATCTATGCGGGGCGTGTTTTTTTCGCGGGGTGCCCCGCGCGGAACGTGTCTATGCGACCGCGTATCTACGTGAGCGCGCTCCCCGATATCCAGAGCGCGAGGGCGCGGAGACGGACGTTCGCCGCTCGTGACCAGGGCCGGAGTCCGACGCCCGTGGCGGCCCGTGAGCCTGGCGCCTGGCGGCATTCGCCCGCGTCCGCGCGCGTCCTGGTCTCCGCATGATAGGGACGGGTACAACAAAATGGTAGGATGTCCAAGGGCAGCTGCTGTTCTTTTTGAGCAGGGCTCGCTGTCCGCGCCGCCGCGGACGTTGTCCATTCGAGCCAGAAGGCCACCTGCCCAACAGCGTCTGCTGTCGGTTTTGGACAACATGTGTTGTCGGGCATGGCACCCATTGTTTCCGTACCCACTTCGGGCGCCCAAATGGTTGGCGGGCTATGTTCGGTGGCCATCACCGCGCAGCCCCGACGCCCGTCGGCGCTGCGCCATGTGGCGCGCCGGCGGGCAACACGCTCAGAGGCGCCGCTGTCAGGGAGGCTCTGCGCGGCCTGGGCCGCGCGACGTTGCGCGGCCGCGGCTGCGAGCCCTGGCGCGCACCCCCTCGGCCAGGTCACGATAGGCCACGAGAGTCGAGTAGGGGATCGACTACAGAATTGATGTACCCCAGAATTCATTTTTCTCCTCGAATCCATGGGAAATTCGTCGAACTTCTTTTGATGTACGGGCATTCTACGTGTTGTGTTGAAGATTCGAGGTGAAAATCAAGTTTGGGGTGAATCGCATTCAATGCTTTCTTGTCGAAGATTCGACGTGAAAATCAGTCTCAGGGTAAATCAATTCTGTAGTCGATCCCCTAGTCGAGAGAGGTAGGCTCAGCTAGGCTCAGAGGTGAGTTTTTTGACGTTTTCGTCAATTTTCGATGGCTTCCCAGCCGCGGGGTGCAGTTTTCAGCAGCTGCGCCTCGCCGAGGCCGTTCTGGGGGTGCCTGGGTCGTTCCGAATACGGCCGCCACAGAACTGAGCTACGACCCGAAAGCTGGTCGAGGAGAATCAACGAGGGGCAACATTTGGGGGGCATAGGGCATAAGCTCAGGGGAAGATGACCGATGTATCTTCCCCCAATCGCGCATTCATCGCCGACGGGGGGCCAATTAGCCCTATCCGCCCAGGAACACCCAGTTTCGTTATCGGTGCCCCTGTCGCCACTGCATGAGCCAGTCAACCCTCCTCCTCCTTTTCTTCCTCATTCTCCTCCTCCTCCTCCTCCTCCTCCCTCCTCCGCCTCCGCCTCCGCCTCGCCCTCTTCCTCCGCCACCTCCTTCTCCTCCGCTTCCGGCTCCTCCTCTGCCTCGGCCTCCGCCTCTTCCTCCTCCTTTTGAGTTAGACCAACATTAGGTGCGAGCCTGTTGCGTTAATGATGTAGCCGGGAACAAAAGAACGACTCGGGCCCAACAAAAACAGCACCTGCCCGGCAGGCACCGCGGAAGATGCAAGAGAAAGAGCGCGGGATCATGTGATTGTTGAGAGTAGGTGCCCGCCAGATGTGATGACTCTCACCTTAGTGGAAACATAATCATGAACAGTAGTAACCTCAAAGCAGAAGCCTTAGATCGGTGATAAGTGCCGTCGTGTTGTAAGGCAGTGCAACGCCTTGCTGTTCGTAGCAAGAGACTAAAAGGCACTGTGCAGATCTAGGGTTGCTGCCCAGGGTCGCAGATCTGGGGCAGACGATGGGCTGGTCGCTGAAATGTTGAAGACAAGGCATGCCAAGCTGGTTGGTGTCATCACAGAGTTCTTTCCTCAAATTCTGGCTGGGGCCTTGCAGCCGCCAGAAGAATGGAAGGTTACTAAATTTCGTGTGTTGTTCAAGAAGGGTCACCCGGCTTTGCCAAAGAACTACAGGCCGATTGCAATTTTACCCGTAATGGCGAAGTTGTTCAGCACAGTTTTGTATAACAGGCTCGCGGCGGTGATCGATTCGAAGTTGTCCAAAGAGCAGTTCGGCTTCAGACCCCAGCGGGGCTGCGCAGACGCCATTCACATAGTGAGGACAGTAACTGAAAAATCCCTTGAATGGGAAAAGGAACTTTGAGTCGCAACTCTTGATGTTGAAAAACCTTTCGACCGTGTGCACCATTCAGCACTATTTTCTACTTTGTTTGATTATGGTGTTTCTATTTCGACGGTTTGTGTTCTGCGGCGGCTGCATCACGGAGTCAAAGGATACGTTTCTTTATGGGATGGCGCCGAGAGCCGGACATTTGACTTTCAACGGGGTGTTAAACAAGGGGATCCAATATCACCGTTCTTTTTGAATATTGTGTTGGACCATGTTTTATCAGATGTGAGCAGCACGTGGAAGCGGAGAGGGAACGGCTCGTTGGTGGGACAAGGCCTCAACGGCAATTGCCTCGCCCACGTGGTTTTTGCAGATGACCAGGCGATTCTGTCCAGATCTTGGATTTCCATGAAGAGAATGAAGGCGGGATGGTTTGGCGCGGGTGGGTTTGGAATTACACCCCGCCAAATGCAAGGTCCAGACGAACCGCAATGAGTTGACGCGCAGAGGCACCATCGTGCTGACGGAGGGATTCTCAGTTGAAGTAGGCACGAGCGTGTCACTGGAGGAACCGAAAGGGCAGGGAGTCGAGAATCGCACCGCGTGCGGATGGCGCATGTTTTGGGCGCTGAAGAGATTGCGATTGAACCGGTCATTTTCATTGAAAACAATTGCGCCTGTTCAACTCTACTCTCACGGAATGCGCCCTGTGGGCGTGCGAGTCGTGGACGCCCAGAATGGAGCTGAGAAGCCTGAGCGTGGCGCAGAATCTGATTTTGCGGAAGATCGTAGGTTGCAGCCGTACTGCCGACGAGCCGTGGGTTGATTGGATCTTAAGGGCCACCCAGCGAGCGCGTCATCTTGCTGAAAGCAATGGTCTCAAGGAGTGGGCGCCCGAGCATTTTCGAAGAAAATGGCTCTGGGCTGGGCGCGTGGCCCGGGCGAGCGCCATCGCATGGGTGAACAGCGTCGCATTTCGGAGAGACTCTTCCTGGCAGGCTGCTGCAGGCGAGTGGGGCTCGATTCGCCCGACGCGCCCTTCCAGTCGCAGGTGGGTGCGCTCCGAAGACACCATCTTCGGAAAGCTATACATGGACACCAACACCGAATTCGGTTGTTTTTTGTGGAACAAATCGCAGTTCCAAAACAAAGCTTGTAGTCGATTGCATTTCCCAAGAGCACGGTTAAAGGCATCGAGGAAGCAACCGCGAACGGAAACATCAACTTCCTTTGGCCGTCTAGTCTCGAAATTCAGCTTGGACAGCTGTCTCGGGGAGTTCGTGCCAAGTCGGTATCGCGATCCATGGTTAAGTTGGAGAGATGTCCCAGGTGGGAGAGGCATTCATTCAAGAGTTGCGACACAATCCCCAGGAAGCCGCTGTCAGGGGGAGGTAGAAAGGACGAGGGATGAGAGGGTGGGCGGGGGAAACGACGCAATGTCGCAGAGCGGACGGGCAGCGCTAGGGTGCAAGGTACAATTCTTTCAGCGGTGCCCGAACAATCAACCAACTTCTCCTTCGCGGTCGTACCTCGATTTCTGGTGTTGGTGGCAAGTTGTTGGTTGCCAATACGACGGATCTATTACCACCAACACCGGTTACCACCAATGCCTTTCAGACTCGTGTCGCCTCGTGTGCACGACAGTATTTTCTAGGGGCTTCGCTGGCGTTTCTTGCGGCTTCGGCAGTGAATTGCGACGTCGCCCCCCCGTCTGCTCCCGCTACCCGTCGTTCCCCGCCTTGCCTCTTTCAGGCACTTCATCGCCCCCTCTCCCGCCCGTCCTCCTTTGGACCTCCGCTACGCCTTTTCCATGCTTCCTCGACGGAGGTCGGTCTGAGCAGAGCTTGGAGGCGGATTTATTTTTCTTGCGAATGTGCAGTTTGAATGCCCAACTGCGCTTGCGGCACTTCCTCTCCACAGGCATCCCCGGCTAAGAAAACCACCCCCCAGGCGCAATCGCGCGTGCTGGGATCGACGTCGAGCCGCGGAGTGGCCGTGAAGTGTGAAAAACGGCCGCCGCCTTTTTTCAGCCTCGGTGTTGGCGGTAATATGCAGGCCTCCCACATCCACAGATGCTGCAGTGACCAGGGGCTGGGCGTGTGGCAATTTGTTGCTGGGAACGACGATGCATGGCGTAATCTCACGTGCGCTTTTGCGTCTTATTCGGTGAAGTCTCGCTTCGAGGGCTGAGGGCCCCGCGTAGAGTCCTGCCCCTCGCGGGCCACTTCGACGGGACTTCCATTTGGAGCACGCCAAACCGTAGTGCAAGTCCCCTCCCATGTAAGATACCCATATCCCTCCCAATAGGAGTTCCCACCCTCCAAGATTAGTACTGGGCGCGCTGCAATTAAAGGTCGCGAAAGGGCTATTGTTGGCACTTGGATGCTCAGGCAGGCCCGTGGGAGAGGCTGGCCACCGGAGTAAAAAGGTAGGCAAAGATGACCACTGCCTCCTTAGCGCAGTTCTTGGGCGGGTGCCCATGGTTGCGAGAGCTACCCCGCAGCCATGCTGCGCCCATTCCCTGCCCACCACCACTACCATCAATCGCCGGCCCACCGCCCCTTCACGTTCTTAGCGTGCCGCTTTGCTTGCTGCCCAAGTATTATAAGTGGGCGCTGCACGCAAAAGTAGAAGATCACGCGGCAGCTCTTGGGTTGCAGCCCCGTTTTTTTAGGTTTGCCCCGGATGCATCAGCGTCATCGGTTTTAACGCGGGCCCTTGCAATCATATTTGGTTGTGCACGTTGACGGATTGGCCTTTGGGCGCAGGCTGGCCGCAGGTCCGCAAGAGGGGCGCGGAGCAATGATCGATGTAGACTTGTGCATTCAGTATCCTTGCGCGGACAGACTGCTCGCGCAGCAGCTGTGACAGACTCTGGAAAAGTTTCGCAGCGTCGCCGGATTGTCGCTGTCTGGCTGCGTCGAAGCCGCGCGTGCAACGCGGCGTTGCGCGCTATAAACCTTGGCGCTGCAAGTAGGTTGTTAAGGCTCACCCCTAACTTATGAGACGAAGGGCGCGCAAAGTTTGGGCTGCGACCCGGGGTTTCATTGGGGGCGCCGAGCCTAAGTAGAGAGCCCCCCTCCGCTACCAACGTAAATCATTAAACCGCCGCCTCCAAGAGTAGCTGGGTGAGGTAGAACGCGCGAGGTGCGCAAAGTGGGAAAAACAAAGAGGCAATCCTGGGGCTGCTACCAAGGGCTTGGCAGGGTGACCCCAAACCTTGGCACGAGACCATTGCCGCGTTAAAAGGGGCTGCTAGTGCACCGGGGCTGGAATCATGTCGTTGTCGAAACCATCATCCTGTTAGAGAACTTGCGTAGTACACTGGGGCTGGGATTGTGCCGCCGTCGATTTTTCTACTCCAGAACAAGAGCGTGCAATCTTTGGGCTGCGACCCAGCGACGTACCGCCCCTTAGAGTAGCTGCGCGAGGTAGAGCGCGTGACCTGCGCCAGAAAA